GCAGCCTGCCCTCGGGGGGGTGTTGGGCCGGGTGCCCGCGCGTGGCCGTGTCTGAGCGCATCCCTCTCTGCTCTTCCAGGGGAGTCCCTGCACGGGTACAGGATCTGCATCCAGGCCCTGCTGCTGGACAGGCCCAAAATCGCCACCGCGAACCTGGGCAAGGTGAGCAGGGTGCGTGGGGGGGTGCTGGTGCTGGGCTGCAGCCGGAGCAGCGCCCGGCCCCTCTGTCCTCATGGAGGGTCCTGCCCGCACCCGCAGTGTTTCTGGCCCTGGCAGCGAGTAATTAGTGGGCACACATTGCAGGTGCCCTGGGAGCTCTGCGCATTGCCCTGCACGTGGAGCTCCCGTGCTTGGCGCACTCAGCGCATGCAGGAGCCCACCCCATGCCCCCCCCCACAGCACTGCTGCCCCTCGGGGTGCTGGCGTCCCGCTGGCCTCCAAGGCTCCGACCCCTGCCCATGCTCCACGCACAGCCGCCCCTGGTAGGGAGCAGGCTGTGTCTGCTGGGCTCTGCGCAGACATTATGGGGCAAGAACGAGGGGTTTTGGTGCCCCCTCCTTCCCAGCGGCTGGGTGCTGGAGGCTCTGCCACCCGGAGCCTGTGCCGCTTCTGTGGGTCCCCCAGGCTCTGGCAGCTACGAGCCTGCTGGGGCCGTGTTCATCTGGTGGGGGCCTCGGGCACCCCGATGGAGGTGCCGTGGCTCGGTGCCGCAGTGAGATGGACGGATGGACAGACGGACGTCCCACTGAGCGGCTGCCCCTTGCTCCCCGCAGTACCTGGAGCTGCTGCGCTCCCACCAGAACAGGCCGGCCAAGTGCCTGACCATCCTGTGGGCGCTGGGCCAAGCCGGCTTCACTGACCTCGCTGAAGGCCTGAGAGGTGAGAGTGCGGGGAGCCTGCGCGTCCAGAGCTGTGGGGGGGGCTCCAGGACGGGGGCAGGGTCCTGGGGCAGCCGCAGGCGGTGCGTGGGTGACAGCTCGAGGTCAGGGTGTGGGGACACGCTGCAGGCAGCCGCCGCAGTGACAGCACGTGGTGCTGGGGGGATGCCACCCGGCGTCCCCAGCACTGCACAATTTGCTGTCTGGGGTCTGGGATCGCTCCCATTAAGCTCGTTAAGCCCCGTGCCTGCCCCCGTTTCCTAACCATATATGTTAAACATTAGCTGCCGCCGCAGCAGCAGGAGGGCTGTGTGCTGGAGGGTGTTTATAGAGGAGTAAACACACGGAGCTATAGGATGGCACTGCTCTAAACACTGACAAGTGGCTCAGTGCTGCTCGGCCAGCAGCCCGTTTGTCCCGGAGGATTGGGCTGGGCTCCCATGCTAGGCACTGGTGCCAGGGCAGGCGCTGCTGCAGGTCCCTGCTCTCCATCAGGACCGTGCCCCTGCGGGGTGCTGCTGCTCCCAGGACTCAAGAGCTGGGTGGTCAGCGGGGGGCTGTGGCCCTGCCCTGGGTTTTAGTGCAGTGGCTCCAATTGGGGCTCCAGTCCTCCTCTGCTGCATGAGGAGCCGGGTGCTGGTGGGAGCAGCTTGCCCATGCCCAGCACCCAGGGGTGCTGCGGGGGACTCGTCCCTGCGTGCTGATGGCCTCTCTGTTCCGCAGTGTGGCTCGGAGTTATGCTCCCGGTGCTCGGGATCAAGGCGCTGTCCCCGTACGCTGTTGCCTACCTGGACCGTCTGCTGATGTGAGTAACCTTGGGCAAGGGCAGAGCCTGCCCAGGTGGCCCTGGTGCCTTCGTGTCTGCGCCGTGCTCGTGTGTGTGTGCACGTGCTGCGTGTGAGAAGCAGCGCGGTGAGAGGCGCACTGAGGGGCACAGAGCAGAGCCCGTCCTCCCCAGGGACCACCCAGCACCGGGTGGCTGTGAGCTGCCCATCCCCGTGGGGTGGTGCCGTGCCGTGCCGTGGTGCTGGCAGCGTGGCCGTGCCGTGGGTCAGGGGCCTGGGGCTGTGCCAGGACCAGGGCTGGTGTCCCGAGCCCCCGCAGCCTTGTCCAGCACGGGCACCTCGAGGTCTCCGGCCTCAGAGGTGCAGCGGAGCCGCAGCCAGACCCTGCTGCAGGGCAGGGCAGGAGGTGCAGCCGTTCCTCCTGGTCCTTCTAAGGAAGCACTGCAAGGGAAGCCCACAAAACCATGTTCCCCGTGTACTTCGCCAGCGAGTCTGTGGCTGGGGGAGCCCCGCTGTTAGGGGGGTGCTGCGGGAAGCTGAAAGCCCCCCCCCGGCCACGGGGACAGGGCAGGGGCTCCGTCAGCTGCGCCTGCACCATGCCAGGGAGCCGCCTCCTCCCCTCCCCGTGGCTGCAGCGGGCCGTGGGAAGGCAATTTTGGCTCGAGCTGCGCTCCCAGTGAGACGTGAACCAGCCCAGTGGGGAGAGGATGGGGGGGGATGGATGGAGCTGCCGGCACGGCACGGCTGGCACCCACCGCAGCGCTCCCCAACGCCTTGCAGGATGCACCCAAACCTGACCAAAGGCTTCGGTATGATCGGACCCAAGGACTTCTTCCCCCTCCTGGACTTCGCCTTCATGCCCAACAACTCGCTGTCGCCCAGGTAGGGCTGTACTGCCCCGGGGGCACGTGGCAGTGTGTGGGGCTCTGCAGTGTGGGTCAGCATCCCGCAGCTTGGCTGATCTGTGGGGGCTTTGTGGGGTTGTGGGGGGCACACGGTGTTTGTGGGGGGCACACGGTGCCACCAGGGGAGGCAGGGGCACAGGCAGCAGCGCTCTGAGAAAGCGTGGTGGGGAAATGCCAGCGGGATGAGGACAGGAGGGGCTGCAGGCTGCACGCAGGGGAGGGGTGCAGTGCTCAGGCAGGCTGCCCTCACCCAACCTTCCGTGCCTCGGCAGCGCTCAGCAGGCGCTTGGTGTGCTCCTGGGGCTGTTCAGTGAAGCAAAAGCAGAACGGGAGAGATGGGAACGCTGCGCTCTGCTGTGCTCCCTCCTGCTCCCTCCTGCTCCCCAGCCTCCTTACATGCACAGCCGTCAGATTGCTGAGGGCTGCAGAGCCTCGCGGGCTGGTCACCTCCCGGGCACACGTGGCAGGGCTGTGGTGGGGATGGGGGCGGTGGTGTCCCCGTGTCAGGGCGGTGTCCTCAGGCTGTGCCTGTCCCCAGCCTGCAGGAGCAGCTGCGGCGGCTCTACCCGCGCCTGAAGGTGCTGGCGCTGGGCGCGAGGCCGGAGGCGACACTGCACACCTACTTCCCCTCCTTCCTGTCCCGCGCCACGCCGAGCTGCCCGCCCGCCATGCGCAAGGAGGTGAGCGGGGGTCGGGGCGGGGGGTGCGGGGGCTGCGCTGCTGGGGCCGCGTTGGCCCCAGGTCCCCGAGGCTGGGAGCGGGCGCTCGGGCACGGCGCGTCCCGCGGCAGCGTGAGGGCAGCTGGGTGCCGTGCTCCTTCCAGCTCCTCGCCTCCATGAGCCAGTGCCTGAGCCTGGACCCGCTGAGCTTCAGCGTCTGGAGGCAGCTCTACACCAAGCACCTCTCCCAGTCCAGGTGGGTGCCTGCGGCCGGTGGCGCTCCTGCACGCTGAGCGGGGTCAGAGCCTCCTCGTGCCCACGCCGGGCTGGCTGCTGGGTGCAGGGATGCTGGTGCACGATGCCAGCCTGCCTTGGGAAGCTGGTGGCGAGCTGGGCAGTCCCAGCCAGCAGCCGGTTGCCCCCTGCCCAACTTGCCAAGGCTGCTGCGTGGGAGCTGCGGGGCTCACGGCACAGCCGCCCGGGGCTGTTAGGCTGCGTTTCAGGCAGTGCCCTGCTCCAGGAGCAGAGCCAAGTGGAGCACGGGCTGTGAGGCATGGCCACTGTGACCACTGGCCCCTCTCTGGGACCACCATGCCCTGCAGGCTGGTCTCCCTGCTGGCTCTGGTCGCTGGGCCATGGCACCGTGGGCTCTGCGCCCCGGCCGTGCAGCCCTGCCCCGGCAGCACCGCGCTGCTCCTTGGGGCGCTGACCGAGCCCACGTTTCCCCCACCCTGCAGCTTGCTCCTGAACCACCTGCTGGAGTCCTGGGACAACGGCAGCAGGAAGGTAAGGGCGGGCGGCCGGGGGTGGTCCCATGCCCCTGCTGGGGTCCCGCCAGGACGGGCTGCAGGCACTGGGTGCTCGGTGCCACGCCGCCCCTCCGCAGCACAGCTCCTGCCCCCAGGTGCGGCAGTCCCTGCAGGAGACGGTTCGCTCCTTCAAGGTGACGAACGAGGAGCTGGCAGCGCGGGGGCCGGGCAGCGAGCAGGACGTGGCAGCGTGTGATGCCGCCTGCAAGGTGAGCGCGGGGCTCCCTGTGCCGGGTGGGGACTGAGCTGCTGTCCTGAGCACCCACGGGACATGTGGGGACAGGCGGTGCTGGTCCCTGCCAGCTGCTGTGGCGCTGGTTTTGGGGCAGCAAAAGCACCCCCAAGGAAAGCTCTGTGCCGGGGGTGGCCACAGCGTGGGGTGAGGAGGTGGCAGGGGAACTGAACAGTGGGGCCAAAGTCCTGCGGTGCAGGAGCCCAGAGCTCACCCTACAGCCTGGGGGCTGCCCGGGCTTCCCCACGGAGGGCGTCCTGTGCTGCTGGGTTCGGGAGCAGCGAGGTGACGGGGTCCCTGCTGGTGTCCCCCAGGTGCTGCTGCAGAAGATGAAGGGCGGCGGCTTCCCCTGGTCCCGGCTGCTCCTCATCGGCCTGGTGTTCGCCGTCGGCTTCCTCCTGCACGACGTCCGGACGCACGGCTCGCTGCAGGGTAGGGCCCGCGCCGCCCCGAGCAGGGGGGGCCTTTTTGGAGCCCTGCAGGCAGCTTCCTGAGGCCTGCAGCCCCGCCGACGCGCTGCTCAGGGGCTGCCCCCTCCTCTTGCAGCCTCCACTTCTGCTCGCGTGCTCCGCTCCTCCGGCATCCTGTCTGCCTCGCAGCAAGCCTGGCACAAGGCGTCCCACTACGCCCTGCAGGGGTACAGGTCAGTGCCACTCGGTCAAGCAGCAGCGCGCGCGCCTGAGGGGGTGAGAAGTTGCTAATGCAGCACCAGGTGATCTCTGTAGGGAGCCCTTTTTGCTTGGGAAGCGTTCCCCAGGTGCTCCTGGAAGTGCTTTTCAGCTCAGCTCTTGAGTTCTCCCGTTCCCCTGGCTGTGGCAGCCGTCTCCAGGTACACGTGTGCTCCCGTGGCCTTGCTGTTGGTGCCGGCGCAGCCGGCGCTGCCTCAGCCTCCGCTCTCCCGCAGGTGGTTGGAGAGCACCCTGCCCGCCTGCTGCGCCCGGGGGGCCGCCGTCCTGCAGCCCGCTCTGCAGCTGCTCTGGGCGAAGACGGCGGAGCTGGCGCTGCGCGTCTCCGAGCTGTGCTCCTCGCACCTCGCCTGGGCACGGGACCACCTGCCCTGGCTGCTGGAGTGGGTGAGGACGGGAGCTGATGGGGAGCACCACGGGGCTGTGCTCATGCCGGCTGGGGGCACCGCGGGAGGAGGGCACGGGGATGGGGTCCCCAGCAAGGGGACGGGGTCCTGCGAGGTGCTGGGTGGGAAGCGAGCAGTGGGTGCGGACGCCCACGTCCCACATCTCCCCAGTTAGCCCAGTCCTCAGCCCAGCAGCATTGGGGCTGAGTGGGGAGAAGCCCCAGGGCCATTCGTTGTTGCCCTGGGAGCCGGGTAGGAGGGGGTGGCCTCAGCCCCCGCACGGGGCCAGCAGCACAGCCGTGTCCCCGGGCGCGTTGTGCACAGCCCAATGTGGGGAGCGTGGGGCCAGGCGATGCCAGAGAGCGGGGGCATCACCCAGCAGCTGGGGGCAGCCCCTGGCAGGGTGCACATGGGTGGGGGGCAAGCTCCATGCCCGGTGCCGCCGGGTGCCCACCGCAGCTCTCCAACCCCATCCTGCTCCTGGCCCCGCAGCTCCAGTCCCGGGTGCCCGAGGCCGTCCTGCACTTTGCCGAGTGCGTCCGGGAGCTGCTGCTCTTCCTGCTGCGGAGCTGCCTGCTGCCACTCCTGGAGCACGGTGCTGCTGCCCTGCAGCGGGGCTGGGAGCACTGCCTGCATGCCTGCCAGTGAGTACCACCGGGGGGGGGCAGCTGGGCCTGTGTTATGGGGAGAATTCCCTCCCGGGGGGACCGGGGGGGTTGGCGGGGGTCCCGAGGGAGGGGGGTGCTGGTGCCCAGAGCCCTGGGGTGGTGCCGCAGGGGTCCCCCCGCTGGCTGCGTGTCAGCGTCACCCCCATGTAACTGCACCTCCCCGTGCCCCCTGCACGTGGGTGCTGCCCTCAGGGGAGCTGGGGGGGGGAGGGTTTGGTGCCCGTGTGTCCCCCCCTAACCCCTGCCCCTCGCTCCTGCAGCGGCGAGGTGTCGTGGGCCTGCCTGAGAGCACAGCTGAGCAGCCTCACCTACTCCTCGTGGGCGTACCTGCAGAACACCACCCTGGCCGTCACAAACTGGGCCTCGGCCATGATCTCCGGACACTGAGCTGCTGCCCGAGCCTGGGGCCGTGCTGGAGCCACCGTGGGGCTGCGGCCCCCAGCAGCACGGCGGGGCCCTGGGGCCCTCGGGCTGCACGGCGCTGGGGGGCCTTGGTGCGGGGCTGTGCTCGCCCTCAGAATCAGTTTTGCCCCCTCCACCCCACCCCGATCACTTCCCTGTCCTGGGTCTCACTGGGGCCAGCACTCGGCTGCTGCCCGTGGGGGGGCAATGAACCGCCTGGGTCCTCCTGCTGCCTCCTGTCACCTCTATTGCACAGGGGGGCATGGGGGGGGGGTGGACAGACAGAGGGACAGACGGGTGGATGCTGCCTGCTGCTGCCCCAGCAGGGCTGGGAAGGGGCTCGTGGTCACAGGGGGGTCCCGGGTGTCCCCCTGCCCCCCGGGGTCTCCACTGCCCCCACCTCTGCCCGCAGGTCCCCGGGCAGCCCTAGGGGACCTGGGGGGGCTCAGGTGGTGGGATTGGTGCTGACATCCTGGCGTGTGGCTGTGCCCATGGGGGTGTGCACGAGTGTGCATGGGGGTAACCGTGTGTGCTGTGTGTGGCTGTGCAGGTGCCTGTGAGCTGGTGTGCATGCACACGTCTGGCTGTGCTCATACATGTATGTATGTGTGCACATGTGTGCATGTGGGTGCAGCTGTGATACCTCTGTGTGTGTGTGCACAAACGTGCAGGGTGTGCTGGTGTGTGTGTGTGTGCACAGGGGCCTGGGGGTGTGTGTGGGGAGCTGTGTGTGAGCTGTGAGGGTGTGTGCATGTAGAGGTGCACACATCTGTGTATACATGTGTACACAGCTGGACATGCACACAGGGCTGTACACGTGTGGGATGTGCACATATATATGCATGTGTATGTACGTGTGCACAGCTGGACATGCACATGTACCCATGCCCATCTCTGTCTGTGCTCATCCCCCACACCCCTGTGCTCACACACGTCTGTGCACACCTGTACACACGAACACACACACACCCTGTACACACACCCCTGTGCTGCTCAGCCGTGCACACCCGTGTCCATGTGCTCCCCCAGATGTGCCCACACGCACGCACACAGACACGTGCCCCCCCCCCCCCCCCACGTGCCTACCCCCACACGTGCTCCCAGCCCGCCGCCGGACCTGGGGGGCAGGGGGCGTGGCCAGCACTGGGGGGCGTGTCCAATCAATGGGCGTGGCCACAAGGGGGCGTGTCCATCCCGGGGTGGGCGGGGCACGCGGGGCCCGTTGCCGAGGCGCCGTCCAACGGGCGGGCGCGGTGCTGGGGGGCGGCGGGCCAATGGGCGGGCGCGTTGCTGTTGCGAGGGGGGCGCTGCGGGCGGCGGGCGGCCATGGAGGTGCGGTGCGGGGGGCTGCTCTTCAGCTCCCGCTTCGACTCGGGCAACCTGGCCCGCGTGGAGCAGGTGGAGCCGCCGCGGGGGGACGCGCTGCCGCCCGCCGACTACGAGTTCAACGTCTGGACGCGGCCCGACTGCGCCCGCACCGAGTACGAGAACGGCAACAGGTACCGGGAGGGGCCCGGAGGGGGGGGAGGGGGCTGGGCCCCAGGCCCCGCCGTGCTCAGCGCCCCCCCCCCCCCCCAGGTCCTGGTTCTACTTCAGCGTGCGCGGCGGCGCCCCCGGGAAGCTGATCAAGCTGCACATCCTCAACATGAACAAGCAGAGCCGGCTGTACTCGCAGGGCATGGCCCCCTTCGTGCGCACCCTGCCCGGCCGGCCCCGCTGGGAGCGCATCCGGCAGCGGCCCAGCTTCGAGGTGCGCGGGGACGGGGACGGGGACGGGGCTGGGACGGGGCTGGGACAGGGCTGGGCCAGGCCGGCGCTGCGCTGCTCCCCAGGCCGTTCCCGGCCAAGGCCCTTCCCAGCCCCCTGCGGGCCGTTTCCCTGCTCTGTGGGCCGGGAGGTGTGGAGCTGCCCCCCCGGGAGGGAGGGGAAGCCGTGCGGCACCCAGGGGTGGTTGGGAAGCCCTGGAGCTGACCCCAGTAGGAGCAGGGACAGCAGCGGCTCAGCTGGCACAGCCCACTGAGGTGCTTGGGCCTCGACCTGCTGCTGGAGGCAGTTTGCTCCTCCCGGTACGTTCTGTCTCCAGTCGTGGCAGGGGGTGCTTGCAGGACGATCTCTTGCTGGTGCTCTGGGCTGTCTTTGCTCCAAGCACACCGCTGTGACCCTCACCTGCACAGCCCTGCCCCACAGGGTGCTGAGGGAGCCTCACATCCCCTAACACAGAGGAGGAGGCTCGGTGTGCTCCGTGCCAGCTCCAGGGAGAGGCACGATGTCCCACTGAGCTTTGTAACACTTGTTGGCTTTGCCACACCGCCCAGAACGGGGCAGTTCTCTGCTCTTTGAGCACTGGCAGACGAGCACAAGCACCAAAACGAGCCCTCTGGGTTCCCAGGAGAGCTTTGCCCAAGGAAAGGGCTCTCACAGCAAGGCAAAATGAGAACCTGAACACATGCTGCAGGAGGCAGGTGGGCAGCGAAATCCCAGACTTTGTAGGAAGCAGCTTGGCCTTTCAGGGACGCAAACAAACACGGTTTGGGACCGCCCAGATCACGGCTGTGACCTTGGCCCGGGTGGGGAGCTGTGCTGCCAGACCCCCCCAGCATGCAGGGGGCTGCGGGGTGCCTGCCGCTGGCTCTGCATGGCCTCTGCCCGCCTGCCGCTCGCGCTGGCCGCTCAGCCTCTGCTTTGTGTCTCTCCCAGATGGTGGAGACCCAGTTTGTGCTGTCCTTCGTGCACCGCTTCCTGGAGCACCGCGGCACCACCACCTACTTTGCCTTCTGCTACCCCTTCTCCTACACAGAGTGCCAGGAGATGCTGGCGCAGCTGGACAGCCGCTTTGAGGAGTGCCAGCACATGTCTCCCAGCAGGTGCGCACCGCGGCCGCCCCCTCTGCCCCCCGGGTGGGGGTGGCTGTGGCCCAGCCTGCAGGGCAGCAGCTGCCCGGGCTGGCGGCGGGGTCCCGCTGCTCTCGCGGTACCCGTGTGGTGCTCGCTCCTCCCGGCAGGGTCCCCCCTGCATGCGCTTCCAGAGAGGGGTGGGGGCTTGCGGCCAGCCTGGCAGCTTGAGGCTGGATCCCCTTGGCGTGGCTGAGCTCGGATTGTTGTGCCAAAGAGGGGCTGTGGCAGAACTGCTTCCTTGTGTGGAGAGAAGGGGCTCGCAGAGGCCTGAGAGCTCTGTAGCTGTGACCTTGCTTCCTTTCTGTCGGGGCGTCTCGGGTCCGCTGCTCCCTTCCTTTACAACCCTGCTAGAAACAGGACCTCACTGCCAGGAGCCAGCCTTAGCACCCAGCCTTAGCACCCAGCTCTTTGGGTCCGGGAGGTTCCCCTGATCTCCAGAACTTCTCCTTGCAAGCCAGGGCTGAACGCAGAGCCCAGGTGGGGGGAGGACAGAGGTGGTTTCAGGTGCCTGCAGGTGGCTCTGCCCTGCAGCCCCTTCCAGCCCCCGAGGCTCAGGGCCTGGGTTGCAAGGAGCACAGAGAGTGAGGGCTGCGTGGGAGGTGCTGGTTCTCACCTGACACGTGATGGAGAACTGTCAGGATTTCACAGCCTGGCGGTCCCTCAGCAAGGCTTTGGCGTTGATTCCTCAGCCCGAGTCCCGCTCATCGATGGGCACAAAGCCCCTGAGCTGCTGCAGCTCTCGGAGCTGCGAGCGCAGCGAGGTGGCAGTGAGCAGTGACTGCGCCGTGCGATTCCATCACGCTCAGTGTCCTGGGGGCTCCTTCCTGCCAGTCCCGGCGCACACTGCGCTGCTCTGGCTGTTTGCCTGCCCCCCCCAGGACCTGGGGGTACAGAGTGACCCCAAGCAGGGCCCTCGAGGACTCCCAGACCCCTTCTGCCTCCCCACACAACCCCTGTGCTGCTGGCCTCAGCTGTGTCTGCGGCGGGTCCGACCGCAGGGGTGCTCCCCCGGGGCTCCCCCAGCTGGGGGCATCCCTGCAGTGAGACCCCAGGGCCTGGGTGACTCCATGGGTGTGCTCCTTGTCCTGGTGGGGGTGAGGGGAGCGGGCAGCGATGAGCTCAGCAGGCAGCTCCCCGAGGGGCACGGCTCCAGAGGGGCTGCTGCTGTGGGGCCGGGAGCCTCCCCCTGCCCGAGGGCTCCCTGAGTGTCTCCTCTCCCCGCAGCCCCCTGGACTCCGTCTATTACCACCGGGAGCTGCTGTGCCACTCCCTGGACAAGCTGCGCGTTGACCTGCTGACGGTCACCTCGTGCCACGGCATGCAGGAGAAGCGGGAGCCGCGCCTGGACAAGCTCTTCCCGGACACTGCCACGCCGCGGCCGCGCCGCTTTGTGGGGAAGAGGGTGAGGAAGAGGGCTGCGCCGGGCACGGGGCTCCGGCAGGGCTGTGCCGGTGGGTGGGGGGCTGGCACCTGGTGCTGCCCTGCCCCTCTGGGGGGCGTCACGTCCTGCGGGTGGGAGTGTGGGGAGCAGGTAGAGCCCGAGATCCTGCGCGGGGGCACGGGAGTAGGGCACCTCCAGGAGCCCCCAGTGCATTCCCATCGTTTAGCCCTGCGATCTCTCTGCTGGCAGCACCACACGAGTGTTCCTGTGGGCAGAAGCTGAGCGCCTCCCGTTGCAGGAGTTCTGTTCTGTCCTCCTGGTATTACTGCCACGCTGTGAGGCCACAGGGAACGCTCCCTGTGCTGGAGCATCAGCCCCTGCTAGGCACGAGTCCTGCCTGCGAGGGAGGGACGGGGAGCTCACCCTGCGCTCACACAGCCGCAGCTCTCGATGGGAAGCTGCCTCCAGGGGAAGAGCTCGTCAGGACGTGTTCTGTGTTGTCTTTGCAATTAGCTCGTTCCCTGCTGCGGGACAGTTCAGGGCTTCTCCCTGGAGCTCTGCCACTGCTCCGCTTCTCTGCCGCACGTGTTCTGGTTTCCCTCAGTGGGGTCCATGGGGTTCTGCCCCTTCAGTCCCTTCAGGGGGTACCCCACCTCGTTCCAGGCAGGACGTGGCAGAGGCACTGGGCACAGAAGCCACCCAAAGCTGTGGGGTTGCAGCGCATGGTGTGAAGTTGTGCCCTGCAGAGCCCGGGCTCTGCCTGGTGCCCGGCCACCTCCGGCCCCTCAGCCGAGCCCTGGCAGGGCGCCTTGGCCTCAGCCCCTCTGCTTCCCCCAGGTGTTCTTCCTGAGCAGCCGGGTGCACCCCGGGGAGACGCCGTCCAGCTTTGTCTTCAACGGCTTCCTGGACTTCATCCTGCGCGAGGAGGACCCCCGCGCCCAGATGCTGCGGCGGATGTTTGTCTTCAAGCTCATTCCCATGCTCAACCCGGACGGGGTGGCGCGAGGCCACTACCGGTGAGTGCAGCGGGCAGCCTGGCCCCGTGGCTGGCAGCGGGCAGGGACACGGCCCGGATGCGGCTGCAGCATCGCCAGGGGCTGTGCGGGCTCCTCTCCCCGCCTCATCTCATTAGTTCAGCGGAAAACTAACGGGGCGCAGCTCTGGGGCCGCACCCAGAGCCCGACGTTCCCTCTGCTCTCCGCAGAACCGACTCCCGCGGGGTAAACCTGAACCGCCAGTACCTCAACCCCGATGCCGAGCTGCACCCTGCCGTGTACGGGGCCAAAGCCGTCCTCCTCTACCACCACGTGCACAGCCGCGTCCTGCCGGGCTCCCCCGACTGGAGGACGTACGTCTCGCCTCTCAGCACCAGCTTGCTCAGCACCAAATCTTCCAACCATTCCGTCCGCGGCAGCGCCCCGTCCCCCGAGGCAGCCCTGTCGGAGCTGGAGAAAGCCAACAACCTCCGCAACTCGCCCGGCGCCTGGAGCGCCGGCACACGCCGCAGCCCGCCTCAGGAGCCCCCGCCCGCTGCGCTGGAGCTGATCCTCCCTGCCAGCTGCTCCACGGAGCTCCCCGAAGAGGAAGCCAAGAGGACAACGCCTCTCCCCGAAACCATCCTGCCCCAGCACAGCGGGCTGGCCTACTATGTCGACCTCCACGGGCACGCCTCCAAGCGCGGCTGCTTCATGTATGGCAACAGCTTCAGTGATGAAAACGATCAGGTGAGGGCAGGACGGGGACCCGGGGCCCCCCTCGCTGTTCCTCCTCCCCTGGCTGCCCTCCCTGCCTCTGGGGCATGCCAGGGTTTGCTCCCTGCTGCCAGCCCGGCACGGGGCCTTGGCGTGGGGAGGACGGGAGCTGCCCCTCTGCCGTAAGGGGTGAGCAGCCTGGGGCTCCCCCAGCATCACCTCCTGTCCCCTGTGCCGCAGGTGGAGAACATGCTGTTCCCTAAGCTCATCTCCTTGAACTCACCTCACTTTGACTTCACGGGCTGTAACTTCTCCGAGAAGAACATGTACGCCAAAGACAAGCGGGACGGGCAGTCGAAGGAGGGCAGCGGGCGAGTGGCCATCTACAAAGCCTTGGGCATCATCCACAGGTGGGCAGAGCGGCGCTGCCACGCTCGGTACCGGCTGTGCTGGGAGGAGCTGGCCCCACGGGGCATGGGGGAGGGCTGGCGCTGCGTGTGCGGTGCCGGCTGTGCCCTGCTTGGCTACCAGGGGCTGCGCAGGCCGAGAGGAGTGTGAGCTCGGCACCGTGCGGGGTGCTGCCGCCCTCCTGACCCATGGGCTCTGCCCTGCCCGCAGCCTCGCTCCTCTTTCTCTTGCACCTCCCCTTCCTTCGTGGCCCTCCCAGAGCCATTCTGGTTCTTGGCTTAGCTGCGGTGGTGCTGCTCGTTTGCTGCTTTCTGCAGTTGTCTTTCCCAGATGTGTGTGTGTCTGTGTTTAGCTGTCAGCAAAACTGGTGTGGTTGTAAAGGGCTCACCTTCCCCAGCTCTCACACACAAGACTGCTGTGGTATGCAAACTGAGGACATTCTTTTCATCTGTGGCAGCCAAGTGCCTCTTTTCGACCTCAATGCGATATTTTTGGACTGTTTATGTTGTGGTTGCTGGGAGCACAGAGATGGCCGGAGCAGAGCGAGCCCGCCGTGCCCCTGGCCGCAGCAGAGGCCTGTAGCAGACGCTGAGGGATGACACCACGGAGGCAGGCGTGCGACACGTCCTCGGCAGATTCCCCATTCCCCAGGAATCTGGGGGTCGAGGAGGTGTGGGAGCAGCTCCGGGCCTCTGGCAGCCCTGGACTTGCCCTGGGAGTTGCTGCCCTCTGCGCAGCTGCTTTCTGAGAGCGGTTTCACCGCTGGCTTGGGCTGCGCTGGGACAGCAGCGGCCGCGGTTCTGTTCTCGTCCCTGCTCCTCCCCTTTCCTCAGCTGTTGCTGTGTCTGGCCCAGCAGCTGTGCGGCTGCAGGGAGAGCCAGGGCAGCACGCTGCTCCAGAGCCAGGGCAGCACGCTGCTCCAGCCAAAACGAACCCTGCGGCAGTACCCGCGCTGATGCTGAGGATCACCTCGTGCAGGGGGTGCTGCTGACAGCCCCCAGCAGCTCCCCGGGTCCGAGCACCCTGAGGCGTGCTGCAGCAGGGCTCACCCACCGTCTCCCAGGGCGAGGTGCTGGTTGTCCTGGCCTTTCCTGAGGACAGATCCAACGTTTGCCTTTCTCTGCCCGTCAGGGATCCCCCAGCCCCTTCCAGCGGTGACCTGGGGGGTTTAAGAGGATGTGGCACCCATGTCTGGCACCTCAGGACATGGAGGGTTCTGAGGGGATCCCCGCTGGATTCTCCTCCCTTTGGGGTGGTTTTCTGCCCTGCACCCATCTCCAGGCAGATTCCCCCTCCCCCAGCCACCCAGTCCCTCCTCATAGCGACCCAGCTGCATCCCCCATGGGCCCGTCCACCTGCTCATACCTGTGCCCAGCAGGTTCTCCCCAGCACCCTCCGAAACCTGGAGGAGCCCGTGATTTGCTGGGGATAGCAGCAGTGTTCCACAGCAGCAAATGGTGAGGGGAGAGAAGTCAAAGCTCCAACCAAAGAGCACAACAGGACAGCAAATGGACGAGCTGTGAAGGAAGGGCCCCCTGTCACTGCGTGTTTTCTAAGCAGACCCCGAGCAACAGGTGGAAGGAGAAAGAACTGCCGCTGGGGTGTTTGCTGGAGCCCAGGGCTCGTTTGCCTTGTGCTCGATTCCTCGCGGTCCCCAGAGCCTCCCCTGGCTGCCAGGACCCGCTGGGGATCACCAGCCCCAGCCCCGTGGGGCCGCGCTCACACCTGCAGCCTGCCAGTGGAACCCGTGCTGCCTGCCCCGGGGACATCCTGCTCCAGCCTCTGGCCCTGCAGCCTCGCCCCGTCCCTGCAGACCCTGCTTGCCCTTCATGTCCCTCACCACACTCATCTCCACGCGTCCCCCCTTTGCCACCAGCCTCATGCCCTCAGCACCATGCTCAGCGCCGCTGCCAGCGCTCCACAGGCACAGCCCCTCGGCCACCCGTGGCTCAGCCCAGGGACCAGGCGATGGCCTCAGCCCTGCTCCTGTGCCCCTCAGCCTCCCCACGGCCCGCTCAAAGCCAGCGCAGCGCGGGGCCTGGCTCCTTTGGGTGATGTGCTGCCTGCTGACCTGTCCTCAGTGTGAGCTCACCAGCAGTGGCTGCAAACCCCAGGACAGCTGAAGGGAACCTGCTGGTGGTTGCTTGACCCCGGCAAGGCAGCGCTTGGGCTGTCCCCGGTGGCTGCAGCGTGTCGGGGAGCAGCTGCTGCCTTCACTCCTTGGGCTCTGCTCAGAGATCGCTGCCCGCCCCAGCCTCCTCACAGCTCCTTTCTCTGCCTTCATTTTCAGCCCGCTGCCCTGGTCCCGTGCTGCACACCAGGCTCCCCCTGTCCTCAGCATGGCCAGCTGCTTTTTATTTGCTCCCACCTCCGTAGATAAATTTCAGCACATGCACTGGCTGGCACCTGGAGCCCCTCTCAGCAGCCTTGGTGCCAGGGCGCTGGGCAGGGACGTGGTGCCCGGGTGTGCGGTGTGTGCCGTGCCTGCACCCACTGCTGGGAGGCACCGGCAGCACGGCTGCCCTCGGGCAGGCATGGGCTGAGGCGGGCTCCCCTCTGCTCCACAGCTACACGCTGGAGTGCAACTACAACACGGGGCGCTCGGTGAACAGCATCCCGGTGGCCTGCCACGACAACGGGCGCGCCAGCCCCCCGCCGCCCCCCGCCTTCCCCTCCAAGTACACTGTGGAGCTCTTCGAGCAGGTAACGGCGAGCCCCGCGCGGCGTGGTCCTGCCCACCTGCACCACCAAGCCCCCGTCCCCCCCTCTGTGCTTCCCTGCCTCCGTGAGGAAGGTGCAGACCCTGCAGCACCGCCTGCCCTGGCTGTGAGCACCAAGGCTCCCCGCACAGCCAGGAGTGGCAGTGGTGGGCAGCAGGTCCCTATGGCCATGGGCACCCGCCTTGCCCCACGCACACCCCAAGGACCTGTGGGAGCACTCGTCCTGGTGGGGAGCCCGCTGGGGTCTGAAACGAGCTCTGGGGCTGGGGGCTGGGTTCTTTGGCTGCTTTTCACGGGCTGCCTCTCACCCCGGCAGGTCGGGAGAGCCCTGGCCGTGGCAGCGCTGGACATGGCAGAGTGCAACCCGTGGCCTCGCATCGTCCTGTCGGAGCACAGCTGCCTCAGCAACCTGCGGGCCTGGATGCTGAAGCACGTGCGCGGCACCAGGGGCGCCGCCGGCTGCGCGCGGAGGAGAGGCACCCGCAGCCCCCCCAGGAGCACCACGTAAGGGTCTGGCGGTGTTCAGGGGCTGTGGGAGAGACCCGGTCAGGCCAGATGAGTGTGCACAGAGCGAGTGACTGCAGCTTGTTGGCTGCCCCGCTTGGCAGGGGTTGGTGCTCGCCCCCGTGGAGTTGTGTGACCTGCAGAGAGGTGGGTGCCCTCGGTGGGCAGGGGGGACAGGGGTTCACCAGCCCGGTAACCTGGGCAGCGATCCCAGCCCGCAGAGGGCCAGCGCCTCTTCTGCTTCTCCTCCACACTCACCCCAGCCCGGCCAGGCAGTGGTGCAGGCAGATTTGGGGTTGGGGTGAGGGACTTGGGACCGCAATGTGCTGCTGCTGCCCCGAGGCTGCAATGTGTGTGCAGTGCTCAGCTCTGCCCGGGGACAGGGGCTGTGTCACTGCCCTCAGCACCCCCAGATGGGGCATCCGAAGCAGCAGGATCGGCCCCCGCTCGGTGCCTGTGCCGTTGCTGGCCGGGGGCTGACGCTGACGCTTCTCCCCTCGCAGAGGGCTCCCGACCTCGGCCTCGGATAACGCCCTGTCCCGCGCACGCAGCTTCAGCAATGGCACCAGCGGGAGCGGCAGCAGCCAGCAGGACTCGCCCCAGATCAAAGCCTCGCCCAGCTTCTCCTTCGGCTGCAGCCGGCCCTGCGCCCCAGCTGCGGACGGCCAGGGCCCGCAGACGGGCAGCGTGAGAGCCCCGGCGCCGGTCAGAGGTAAGCTGGGCTGGGGGCCTCTCGCGCACGTGGTCCAGTGCCTGTCGAGCTGCTGTGCGAAGCCGCAGCCCTGAGGAGAGCTGGGCGCCGGCGTAACTGTGTGCTTTGACGTAACAAAAGTGGTTTTGAGTGGAAGAAGTGCGTGTGACCGGCTGCCCCGTCCCCTCGGAAGGGCCCTGGACTGCAGGGCGCAGCTCAGCGCTCCGGCCCCAGCGGAGCAGGCCGCACCTGGGTCGGGACAGACAGCGGCACAGCGAGACCCCTGATGTCATCGGCTGGAAGGGCTGCGGGGCCTGGCCAAGCTCCCCCCCACCCACTCTGCAGCCCCTGCTTCTGCCAGCAGCAGGTCAGAGGGACGGTGCTCGCCGTGGGCTGCCTGGCAGTGACTAGTCTGCTCTGAGCCGGCAGCCCCGGGCTGACCAGCTCGCTGTGCAGGGCGCAGAGCACAGTGCTTTCTGGAGAGGCCAGCACGGAAAACCTGCGGCCTCTGGCACCCAAATTGCTCCCTAGGCCCGTGGGGTGACACCAAAGTGCCTTTCTCCTTCCCAGGCACCTGCTGAGGCACAGCCGGTTGTGGCGCATGGCTCTGTCATGGCACTGTGGGGCCGAGCTGTGGCAGCTCACTGGGGGCTGAGCGAGCGGTGACTCCTGCCCCAGGGGCTGCCTGGCAGCACTGAGCCACCCACACGGCTTGGAGGCACAGATGCAGCCCTGCATCGGCTGCACCACGCTCTGGGGTGGCAAAGCAGTGCAATCACAGCGCCCCTCGCTGCGGGCAGGGCCGTGGCAGGGTGCTGGGTGGTGTCTGGTGAAGCTGCGGTGCCCCGAGCTGCTGGCCGAGGCAGCGGCGTGTGGCAGACGGGGCTTGGCAGCGAGCCCTGGGCTGCCGCAGGGCTCCCGGCCCCGGAGGGCACCGTGCGCCCAAAGGCCCCGGCACGAGCGGGCGTCCTCGGTGCCGCGGGGCAGGGGGCGGCCGGTGTGACTGGGGCGTGACTGCGGCTGTGTGGTGTGGTGGCGGTGCCCCGATGCGGCACCGCTCCGCCCGTCGGCTCCTCGTGCTGTGCCTGCGTGGCGCGCGTTGCTTCGTCCTCTGTGTGTGCTTCCCAGCGCTCTGTAGCGACCGTTTCTCCCCTGCTGCCAGAATGTGGCGGGGAGGAAATAAAAGGTTCATGTTCCCCTGGGCACGTTGTAGCGTCTGTTCCTTCTGCCGGGCACGCTCTGTCCTCATGGAGCCTGCGGGAGCCGTCCGCTCGCTGAGGCCGTGGGGCTGGGCGGGCACGGGAGGGAGCGGCGTTGTTGTGCCTCCCCGGCCGCGCTCCCTGGCAGGGGAAGCCAGACCGCTGGAGCTGGCAGCACGGGCTGCAGACACCAACACAATGGCAGGGGAAGCTGGTGGGGCCCCGGCTGTGCTGCTCTTGGGACAGGGACCCCAGTGGCAGCTCGCCCTGGGGTGTGCCTGCTGCATCCTGGTGGCACCGGGGCACCCCTGAACACGGTGCTGCCCGCGGTTGTGCCAGCAGAGCTTTGGTGTTTGTGTGGGTTTCCCGGGCAGCTCGACCTGCTGACGTGCGGCCCCACGGCTCTGCCGTGCCAGCCCCTCGCCTCCTGCCTTCCGCACCACCACCCTGCCCTGTCCCCTGGCAGCACTGGGATGCTCCCACCCGCTCTTCCTTCCCGGGCAGCCGGGAAACGGAACCAGGGCCGCTTGGATCCAGCCAGGTGGTGGTGTGCTGTGATGTGCCGTGATGTGCTGTGGTGTGCCGTGGCGGCACAGGGCAGGAGGCTGCCCCGGCACGTCCCCTCCTGCCCCTTCCTGCTCACGCTGCTGCTGCTGTGCGGAAGGGGACAGCCGCTGCCACCCTGTGCAGGATGCAGGGTCAGCACGCAGGGGACACGGAGGACGTCCTGCCCCGCTGGCCCCAACCGGCACCAGGCTCGTCCCTTCCCCAGCTGCTTCCTCCGAGCTCACAGCCAAGCGCTGTCGCTGACTGCCCGAGCCCCCACACAGGAGGAGTCTCTGTGATCCCAAAACTCCCTCAGCTTCACAGAGCTAGCGGTTCACCCTGCAGGCTCCTGCCTTCTGCAGGGTCTGCTCATTCACAGCTTGCCCCAATTCCCTGCGTGCCCCCGATTGCCCCATGCTGTGCACTGGGCAAGCCCCTTTCCTCTTCCCAGGTTCTCAACAGCTCGGCCGGGGAGTCCAAGGACGGCCCAGCCCCTATCTCCTGGGGCGGCACGTGCAGCTGCTTCCTGCAGCCCTCAGCTCTGCTGGTATCTCACTGACCGTGTGCTTGTGCTTGTGCTCGTGCTCCCTGTGCTCGCCTGCTGCTCCTGCCACCTCTGCTGGCCGCGTACCCGTCGGGTTGGGTTGGGTTTTTTTGCACGCAGGGGATTAGCTCGTGCATGGCATGCTGCCCGCCATGCCTTCCCTCACCCTGCTCTCCATCGCCCTTTCTTCAGCCGCTTGCTTCAGGAGCTTGTCACTGCCCTCGGGGCCAGGAGGGGGAAGGAGGGAAGCGTGGCAGCTCGCGGGCACCTGGTTCAGAGCGAGCTCCCCACGCCGCTGCCCGGGGCTCTGCGCTCTGCTGCCGCCGCTGCACGCTCACAGCCGCTGCCACGCGCTCGCTCTCATTAACAACCCTCCTCCATCACGGCCGCTGACATCTAGCGCGGGCCAAGGGCTTTGTCTGCGGCCGCAGCCCTGTCCTTGTGGCTCTGGGGCCGTGTCTGTGCTGCTTTCTTCTCGCTCCAGCGTGCTGTTTCCCATTAGCAGCGCCGTCCCCATGCTGTGCCGGGTGCCGCCCGTCGCCTTCCCCCCGCCGGCATCCCAGCAGCTACTCGGGCAGCTCCCGCCGCACGCTGGGCCCGGGCCCACGCCTCCTGCGCTCGCAGCCCGCGGGCGTGCTGGGCATGAGGGCAGCTCGCCAGCCTGGCTCAGCTCCCAAAGAGCAGCATGGAGCCAGCACGGCACGGAGCCAGCAGCTCGGCTGCGGCTGTGCCACAGGGTTGGTGCTGCCTGGTGCCTGCCAGGGGCTGCCGCCCAGCTCCACACCGCACAGAGTGCCTGGTGCTGGTGGGGACTGGACCAGGACTGCCCGTCCCCGCTGTGCAGGGGGCTGCTGAGGCACAGGCCTGCACGAGCTGTGCTGTGCGGGGCCTGGTTGTGCTTCCCCTGGAGGCCACCGTGTGCTCAGAGAGCAGGCCCTGGGGCGCGGAGGTGCTGAGGCTGAGCGTGGGGGCTCCTGCTGGGCAAGGGGTAAGGGGTGAGCTGCGGGGACAGGGGGCTCTGGCCCTGCTGCGGGGCTGATGGAAAGCCCCAGGGACAGCAGCACCCCTCGGGGACAGCAGCACACCCCAGCCACCAGGCAGGACGCAGGCACAGCCCTTGTCCCTGTGTCCCCACGCAGCAGCCAGGCACAGGGGCTGGTCCCACACAGCCCCCACTGGCTGCGCCCCGAACAGGGCTCTGGGATCCAGCACTGAGGCCCTTGGGGTGTCAGAGGGGGACGTGGATGTGGTGCTGGGGAGCGCTGCGGGTGCCAGCCCCTCTCTGAGCCGTCTCCTTCCTCACGCAGGGTTCTTGCCGGCGGGCACCCAGGCATGGACGGTGACGGGCACCAGCCATGGACCATGGGAGGCGCGGCACGATGGCAGCGGGGACCCAATGGCCACGCACGGCCCCACGCTGCTGCAGGTACTGCCGGGCACCAGCATGGGTGAGGGCCGGGCCCAGGCAGCACCGGGGACCGAAGGACACGTGGCTGGGGAACGGCACAGCCACCGCGCCCTGGCTGTGCCAGGAGGGGTTGGTGCCCCCGCACAGCCCACCCCTGGCACCCTGACGCTGACCTCCCCTCCCCTCCCCTCCCCTCTCCTCTCCCCGTGCAGGTGCTCCCGAAGAAGCTGAACGCCAGGAGAGCCCCGGAGCAGCCCGGGTAGGTGCTGGCACTGCCGTGGTGCCGCCTGCGCTGCCGCCGAGCCCGCAGGAGCCCTGGCTGCACCCCCGGGGGAAGGCAGGGCCGGTGCCGCAGGGGGCCCAGAGGTGCCCGCCGCGCCCTCAGGAGCCCCGTGCGGTTCCCCGCAGCCCAGGGGGGCTCCCCGCCCGCCCCAGCAGGATCCCGGTGCGGAGGAAGGGGGCAGCGACCACCCAGAGCCTGCCCACACTTGGCCCCGGGAGCACCGCAGCGTCCCCAGCCCAGAGGCACGGCGGTGCTGGGCCCTGCACCCCACACAGTCCCGCAGGTAGGGCCCATACCCCCAGAGCTGGTGGGACCCTCGCCCACCTGGCCCCTCACCCACCCGGCCCCGGCCCCTCACCCCGCTCTCTGTCCCCACAGGGCCCTGCCAGGCGGCCCCGGTCCCCATCACGGGGTCGCGGAGCGTGGAGCAGCTGCTGGGTGAGGGTCTACGCCCCCAGGTACAGCCCCGGGCACAGCGGGGGGCTGCCGCGCAGGCGGGGGGCTCGGCCCCCAGCCCCTCCCCACCCACTCTCCTGCCTTGTAGCACCCGCCCAGCCCCGTGTCCGGCTGCCCCTCGCTCCGCTCCTGCCGCCAGCTCCTCTCCTTCTGCGCCGAGGCCTGACCGCGGCCGCCAGCACCGGCCCCACACCCGCCACGGCCGCGCGCCCGCACCCAGCCCAGGACCGACGGCGCGGCGGAGCCGCAGCAGCCACCGGCTGTGCTCGGCACCATGCCCGGTGCTGGGAGCCGCCCTGCTCGCCCCGCGGGCCGGCGGGAGGTATTTTTACATAACACGGTTTTGTCTTGTATCGTGTTTTGTTAACGCCCGTCGGGACCGAGCACGGGGCGCGGTGCCATGCGGCACGGCGGGTGGGTGCGGGGCGCCTCCATGGCCCCCATGGTGCGGGGCGCTCGGGTCGGCTCGCTCCGCTCAGCTCCGCTCTGCGCAGTCCTGTGGGGAGAGACAGTGAGTGGGGACGGGGACAGGGACGGGGGGACGGGGACAGGGAGCAGGATGGGGACAGGGACAGGGACAGGGGGGGCATGAGGAGGAGAATGCAATGGGGACGGGGACAGGGACGGGATGGGGGCAGGGATTGGGGCAGGGAAAAGAACAGGGTGAGGGCAGGGATGGGGACAGGGACAGGAGTGGGGAGGGGACAAGTTTGGGGACAGGGAGGGGGGCAGGGACAGGGACAGGGATGGGGGCAGAGATTGGGGCCGGGACCAGAGCGGGGAGGGGTCGGGGCTGGGGCCAGGGGTGGGCATGGGGCTGGGGGTGGGGATGGGGACAGGGATTGGGGCAGGGACCAGAGCGGGGAGGGGTCGGGATGGGGACACGGGATGGGGCTGGGGCAGGGCCAGGCCTTGCTGCCCGGGGGGGCCTTGGAGGTGCCCGTGGCGGGGGGCGGGGCAGGGCCGGGCCGGGGGAGGCGGTGCCGGGGGGGGGGGGGGGGGGCTGCGCGGTGCCGGGCCCGGGGCCGTCCCGGTGCTGGGCGCTCACCGGGCTCAGTCGTGGCGCTTGGGGTTGTTGACGGCCACGTAGTGGTACAGCACCACCAGCAGGAACAGCGACACGCCCAGCATGTTGGCGAAGATGGCGAGCTGCACGTCCGTGATCATCCTGCGGCGGGCGGCGGCGGCTGGCACCGGGAACGGCACCGGCACCGGGAACCGGGCACCGGGCTCCGAGCACCGGGACCAGGCCGCTGCCCAGCCCCCACCCGGCCCGGGACCCCCGCTCCCCGCTCCCCCCCCCCGTCCGGATCCCCGCCCCCCCCCCATCCCCTCCCCCCCCCCCCGCTCACTCTCCGCCGCCCGCTCCCGCCGCCGGCCACGTCCCCGCCGCTCCGCGCGCCACTTCCGGCCGCGGGGCACCGTGGGACGGGAGGGGGGCGGGGCCCGGTGTGGGGGGCGGGGAGGTGGCTGCGGCCGTGACGTCACGGGCCCGCTGCGGTGACGTCACGGCCTGGGCCCCGGCCACCGCGTGACGTCACGGCCCGGCGCGGGCAGAGCGGCGCCGGCGCCTCGAGGGGGGCAGGGACGGGGCGGGGATGGGGACAGGGGGTGGGGGCGCAGGGAGGGGGCAGGGGCAGGGATAGGGATAGGGAGAGGGGATACGGGATGGGGGCAGGGGGCAGAGGATGGGGGTAGGGGGTAGGGGAGAAGGACAGAGGGACAGGGGATGGGGAATAGGGGCAGGGGGCACAGGGAGGGGGCAGGGGAAGGGCAAGGGGGCAGGGGCAGGGGGTGTAGAGAGAGGGCAGGGGAGCAGGGATATGGGATAGGGGCAGGGGACGGGGGATAGGGGCAGGGGGCACAGGGAGGGGGCGGGGGCAGGGATAGGGGTAGGGGATACGGGATGGGGGCAGGGGGCAGGGGCAGAGGTTTGGGGTAGGGGGCAGGGGATAAGGGCAGAGGGACAGGGGATGGGGAATAGGGGCAGGGGCACAGCGAGGGGGCAGGGGATGGGACAGGGATAGGGGCAGGGGATATGGAGGGGGGCACAGGGAGGGGGCAAGGGAAGGGCAAGGGGGCAGGGGATGGAGACGGAATAGGGGTAGGGGGCGTAGGGGAGAGGGCAGGGATAGGGGCACGGGGCGGGGGGGGGGGGATAGGGCCTGGGGGCAGGGGGCAGGGGCAGGGACGGGGCAGGGGAGGGGGCACAGGGAGGGGGCAGGGGATGGGGACGGGGGATAGGGGCAGGGGGCACAGGGATGGGCAGGGGGCAGGCCTGTCCCGTCCCGGCCGCCCCCCGCCATGCGGTGCAGGCAGCCCCCGTCCCGCCCCCTCCCCCCCCCCCCCGGCCGCCTCCTGCCGCGCCAGGCTGTGACGTCACCGGGGCCGGGGCCAAGCCGTGACGTCACCGCTTGCAGCGGCCGGGGCCGTGACGTCACCGCCCGGCCGGGGAAGCCGCGGTGTCAGCGCGGGCCGGGGGCCAGGGCCGTGACCTCAGCGGGGGCGGCCCCGCGGGGTCCCCTCCGGGTCCCCTCCGTGTGCCCGTGGGGCCGTGCCCGTGGGGAGCCCCGCGGGGCCCCGTGGGGCCGGGCCGCGGGGGGGGCACCGGGGCCGGGCGCTGCCCCGGGGACGTGGCAGCGGGCAGGGCGCGGTGCCGGCAGCCTGCCCCCGGGGGGGGGGGCCGCGTCCCGGGCTGCGGGGAGCCCCCGCGGGAGCCCCCGGCCGGCCCCGCGCCGCCGCCGCGACCCCCGCGGGGAGCGGGCACGGCCCCCGCCGGGCAGCGCGGCCACCGGGGGCCGGCGGGGCGGTGCGGGGCGGTGCGGGGCGGTGCGGGAGCCCCGGCCCCGCCGGCTGCCTGCAGCCCTGGCCCCCTGCCCGGCCTCTCCGGCTCTCCCCGTCCCCGTGTCCCAGCCTAACGAGAAGCAGATGTGCGGGCGGCGGCGGGGGGCGGGGGGCAGGCGCGGGGGCCGGCGGCGCGCGGCGGTGCCCGGCGGAGGCCGAGGCGGGCAGGAAGCGGGGGGCCCCGGGGACCCCGTCGGGCGGCAGCGCCGGGGCGGCTCTGGCGGCGAGGGGCTGGCCGAGGGGAGGGGAGGGCAGAGCCGCGCCGAGCCGAGCCGCAGAGCCGGGAGGGACGGAGCCGCGACGGGACGCGCCATGCGCTCCTGAGCCGCGCCGTGCGCCCCCGCCGCCGCGCCCCCCGCCCGCCCAGCATGGCCCCCTGGCTCTGGCCGTGCCTCCTGGCCGCGCAGGCCCTGGCCGCCAACTTCCCCCCCAGGTACAGCCTCTACACCGGGGGGGCCGCCCCGCTCAGCCCGGCCCAGGCCACGGCCCCGCAGGGCCCCGCCGCGGCGCACGGCGGTGCCCGGGCCGCCAGCCGGCACAGGTAGGAGCCGGGACCGCCGGGCGGGACGGGGAGGGAGCCCCCGGGGCGCGGCCCCCGCCCCGCAGCCCTCGGGGGGGGCCGGGGAGCGGCAGGACGGCGGCACGGCCAGCACGGGACCCGACGGGGGGGCGTCGACGGGGCCGTGCGGGAAGGATGCTCCCCGGCACCGCGGGGCTGCCCCGTCCCAGGGCACGCTCGGGGATAACGGGGATGAGCCGGGGGGGCGCCGGGAGGGGGGCGCGGGGCGGGGGCTGCGGCCCGACGGGCGCGGAGGGGGGGCGGGGCGCGCGGGGGGGCCCGGCCGTGCGCGCCGGGTGCCGGTGCCGGGGGTCCCGGGCGCGCACCCAAACCGCGTGCCCCGCCGCGGGGTCCCCGTGCCGGGGGGGCGGGTGAGGGGCCCCGACAGCCCCTGTCCGTGCCGTGCCCTGCGGAGGGGGCGGCGGGGGCTCGGCTCGTGCCTGCCCCCGGGTCGGGGCTGGGGCTGCGGGGCCGGCCCCGCACCGGAGCTGGGGGTCACCCTCTGGCCGCAGCCACAGCGTGGCCGTGCGGGGTGCAGCACGGGACGTGTCCCCCCCAGCCCCACCGCAGCCCCCCGGCAGCCCCAGCGCCCCGGGGCAGGGGCTGGTGGGACCCTGCTCCACGCGGGACCCGGCTGCCGGCGTGGGGCTGCCCGGGAAGGGCGCACGTGGGCTGGGCATCCCGGCTCACAGAGCGCCGTGGCACAGCCCGGGCTTGGCTGGGCTCCTGCCCGTGGTTTTGGGGACGTAGCAGGGTGTCCCCAGGGGCTGGGGCACAGCGCCCTGTGCCCGTGGCTTGGGGGATGTTGAACCCATCTCTGTGCTTCGGGGCTGCTGCCTCTGCTTCGAGGGTCACGGCAGGCAGTCCCCATGGAGGGGGGACACGGGGACCCATCCCCATGCCCCGTGGTTTCGGGAGGGCTCCCAGCCTGTCCCCAGGACGTGGATGTGCCCCGATGCAGCCCCAGGATGGGCAGTGAGAGCCAGGGCCCCGCGGGCACCATCAGCCAGGGATGATTGGGCACGGGGGGAGAGCGGGGGGGCCGGGAAGGGAAGAGAAGGGAAGGGAAGGGGGAAGAGGGGGGGCCGTCGGCGCAGGAATTCCCGGCGGCCCCGGGGAGGAGCTGGAATCGAGCCGGGGACTGAGGGGAACCAGCCGGGCTGACGGGAACCGGCCGCGGCTCTGCGGGGCCCCCGCACTGCTCAGCTCCACGGCACCGCACGGCACCGCACAGCTCCACACAGCTCCCCACAGCACAGCACCGCACAGCACGGGGCTGGGGCTGCCGAGGATCCGCGCCGTGGGGGCTGCCCGGGGGGGCCGCGCTGTGTGGGGCTGCTCTGGGCTCGGACCATATAAGGCTGGGCTGGGGCGTCCGCACTGCGTGGGGCCGGGCCGGGGTCCCGCTCCCTGGGGTGGGCTGGGGGGCTGGGGTCCCGCCCCGCAGCCTGGCCACCACACCCCGCACGGAGCAGGGGGGCCCCGCAGCGTGTTCTGGGGGCTGCAGCCCCCGTGGGGCCGGCTGGGGGCCCCGCCCCACACCCTGGGAGAAGCGTGCCCCCCAGGCAGGGTCTCGCCATCAGGTCTGGCCGGGCGCCAGGGCTTCGTCCCCAGCTCCTGAACTCCAGGCTTGGGGACACATCAGTGACAGCCAGGGAGTGGCTGGGGGGCACAGACCAGCCTGGCTCCACAGGGCAGCAGCACGGGGTCAGAGCCCCCCCGTCCCTGCAGCATGCAGTGCCTCGCAGGACGCATGCGCTCCCCTGGCCGCCCCTTGCACCCACGAGCAGGGTCCCTGTCCCCGTCCCCATCCCTGTCCCCACAGGGCTCGCTGGGTGCGGGTGGCCCCGTGAGGGCTGCGGTCACTCCCCGCGGTGCCACTGGCCCCTTCCGCAGCTCCTGAAAGGGCCCCTCAAAGCGCTCGGGGCTGTGGGGTTGGGCAGAGGTGAAGGGGCTGCGGCGGGGGCAGGATCCGGCCCATTAACCCCACAGCACTGGGCCGTGACGGCTGCTACTGGTGGGACCGGCAGGGCAGGCACCTGTGGGGGGGGTTCCCATGGTGGTGCCTGGTCCATGGGGGGACACCCGGGTGTGCCGGGGGCTCCGGTGCGGGGCCCTGACGCCTTCTCCGCAGGAACTGGTGCGCCTACGTGGTGACGCGCAGCGTGAGCTGCGTGGTGGAGGACGGCGTCGAGAGCTTCGTCAAGCCCGACTACCAGCCCTGCGGCTGGGGGCAGCTGCAGTGCCCCCGCGTCCTGACGTGAGTGGGGCCGGGCAGGGCGGGGGGCGTGGGACCGGGAGCCAGGGGGCAGCGCCCGGGGCCCCCAGCGGCGCCGCTGTTTACCCTCCCGGGACGTGTTTACTTTTCTGCAAGAGCCGTGGTCTCAGCGGCTCGTGGCCGGCGCCTGACCTGCCCCGACCCGGCTTTTACAGCGGCGCCGCTGGCCCCCCCCGGCCAACTGCCCCTCAGCATCGGGGCCAGTGACCCCCACGCCGCCTGGGGGTCGGTTTGGGGACCAGGGGCTCTGCCCAGGGCCCGTGTCCGGCACTGGGGCAGCCACAGAGCAGAGCGCTGGGTGCCGTGGCGGTGCCAGCCCCGTCCTGGGGGGCCGGCAGGATGCACAGGAGCCACCCCCCGGAGGGCAGCGAGCGTGGCCACGGCCAGCCCGGTTGTGCAAGAGCCTGGTGCGGTCGCGCCGCCTGGGCCAGCCCGCAGCCTGGGTTTGGTTTTCCTCCCCGAGCCTCTTCCTGCAGCGCCTGTGGGCAGGGACCGGCGCGGAGGCTGGGGGGGGGGAGGGGCGGCAGGGACCAGGACCCCCCCTCCCCATCAGCAGCGTCCCCTCTGCCCGCAGGTACCGCAGCTTCCTGCGGCCCCGCTACAAGGTGGCCCACAAGACGGTGTCGGACCTGGAGTGGCGCTGCTGCCAGGGCTACTCGGGGGAGGACTGCTCCGAGGGGCTGGCAGCGGGGCCCTCCCTCACCACCACCCGCCCGCGGCCCCGGCCCGGCCGCCCCACGCTCTCCGGCTTCGGCAACACGCTCAGCGGCCTGGGGGGGGGAAGGCAGCGCCGGGGGGGGGCCGGGGCAGCACTGCCCCGCGGAGCCCGGAGCCCGCTGGCGGTGGGGAGACGGAGAAGGTGCAGCAGCTGGAGGAGAAGGTGCGGCGGCTGAGCAAGCAGCTGGAGGAGCTGCAGGCCTCGGTGCAGGAGGGCCAGGAGAAGCTGCTGCAGGACCTGCGAAAGGTGGCCGAGGGCGGCCCGAACGGCAAGCACCAACCCGCCGACGCTGCGCCCCCCGACGTGCGGGAGACGCTCAGCACACATCCAGCAGCACCTGGAGCGCCTGGACGACCGCATCCGCAGCCAGGAGCTGGAGCGGGAGCGGGATGGCTTCGGGGGGAGCACGGCCCGGAGGGGGGCCTGGCGGGGGCCGCGCTGCTGCGCGAGCTGGAGCAGCGGGGTGCAGGATTCCTGCGGCGCCTGCCTGGCCGGCACCGAGGGGCTGCGGCGGCAGCAGGCGGAGGACCGGGAGCGCATGAGGGCGCTGGAGAAGCTGGTGGGCTCGGTGGACCAGCGCAACCGGGAGGCGGTGGAGACTGTGCAGCGGCACGTCAGCAGCCTGAGCACCCGCCTGGCCCCCCGCGCCGCCCGACGAGCTGCGCCGGCGCGTGGCCGAGCTGGAGCGGCGGATGGACGGGCTGGAGGGGTCGCGCGGCGCGGTGCTTGGGCCGGGGCCGGGCCGGTGCTGGCCCGGCGGCTGTCAGAGCTGGAGGGGCGGCTGAACGCCACGCGGGCCGGCCCCGGGCCCCCTGACACCGAGGGGCTGCGGGGCCACATGGCCAACCTGAGCCGGGCGCTGGAGGGGCTGGCGGAGAGCGGGGCGCAGCGCGGCGCCCGCCTGGCCGAGCTGGAGGGGGTCCTGGCGCGCTGCGGGCGGCCCTGCCCGGAGCCCACTGCCGATGGCCGGGACGGCTCCGCGCTCAGCCAGCTGGAGCGGCGCGTGGAGGACAACGAGGCAGCAGCTCCGCACCCTCAGCTCCGGCCTTCGGCAGCTGGGGGCCGGCGGGGCCGGGCCGGGCAGCTCGCTGCAGGCGCTGCGGGAGCTGGTGGGGGAGCAGGGCGAGACGCTGGAGCGGCTGGCGGGGCGGCTGGGGCAGCTGGAGGCAGGGGGGAGCTCCGGTGGGCAGACGCTGGAGGACACCCGCAGGGACCTGGAGCAGCTCCACAACCGGACGGGCGCCCGGCTGGGGCAGCTGGAGGCCGAGCTGCGGGGGCTGAGCGCCACCGGTGCCTGCGCCCAGCCCTGCTCCCCGCTGCGGGAGGAGCTGGAGCGCGCTGCGGGAGGGGGAGGTGGGCCCTGCACCACGCCTGCAGCCCGCCCCCCGCCCCGACCCCACGGCAGCCGAGGAGGAGGAGCCGCTGGAGGGGTTCAGCGTCTTCGGAGGAACGACGCCCTGGGAGCTGCAGACGCTGCAGGGCGAGCTGTCGGAGGCGCTGCTCTTCTTCGGCTTGCTCAACACCACGGTGCAGGACCTGCAGGACGCCGTGGACCAGCACGACGCCAGCCTGCGCGAGCTGGGTGGGCCGTGAAGGATCGCCTGGCCGCGGAGCTCGACCGGGTGCAGGCGGAGGTCGCCGAGCGCGCAGCCGAGAGCGAGGAGCGGCTGGAGGGGCTGGTGCGGGACCTGGTGCGTGCGGGGCCCCGCGGGTGCCCGGCGCGCCTGGAGCCCAGGGTGGCCTGAGGGCGCAGAGGGGCGTGGGCTGCGGGGGCAGCTGGAGGTTGTGTCGGGGGGGCTGCGTGGTGTCCGCGAGGGGCTGGGCCGGCACGTGGCGGGGCTGTGGAACGCCCTGCGGGAGCTGAACGGCACAGCCCGAACCCACAGCGCCCTGCTGGAGAAGGCGATGCAGCTCCCGGCGCGCCTCAGCGCCCTCAACGCCAGCTTCCAGCAGCACCGCGCCGAGATGCTCAACCTCACCAGCAGGGACCTGACCGTGCGCGGCGACTGGGAGCAGGGACGGGGAGAGAGGGCAGGGGGAGGGGGAGAGAGGCAGGGGGATGGGGAGAAGGGGGCATGGGCTGGAGAGGTGGGGAGAAGGGGGCACCACGGTGGGAGAAGGGACACGGGGAGGGGCAAAAGGGCGTGTGGGAATGGGGCATGAGTGTACAGAGGACGGGGCTGCAGGAGGTGGGGATGGGGGAACAAGAGGCAATGTCTGAAGACAGAGCACGGGGACAATCGCAGTGCCACGAGGTGTGAGGGTGTGGGGACGCCAGGTCCCAGGGCTTTCAGCTTTGGGGGTGTGGGGTATGGGGGTGAGGGGGTGCAGGACCCCCGGCTGCAGGCTATGGGGCTGGGATGCATGGGGGACTGTGGGACCCAAGTGTGGGGGCAAGAGGCTTGGTGCATGGGAACATGGGGGCCTCAAGTCACGGGGTGTTGGGCTGTGGGGTGAGGGACGGGGCTCTAACCCACCCCCTTCCTCAGGCCCTCCTGGGCCCCCGGACCTGAAGGCCCCATGGGGAAGACGGGCCCCCCTGGCCCCTCTGGGCCTCCTGGCAAGGACGGAGAACAAGGCCCCCGTGGGCCCCCCAGGTAAGGAGCAGCCCCGTGCCCCGGCAGCCTCCAGCAGTGGGGCCGTGCCTGCCGGTGCTGGCTCGTGCCGCCTGCCCACCCCACCCCACCCCACAGCACCGTCCTGTCCCTTCCCTTTCAGGTCTGCAAGGAGAAAAGAGGTAGGGCTGGGATGTGGGGGGGTACGAGGGGCTGGGATGAGGGGGCTGCGGGGTGGGGGGGTGCAGGGTGGGGGGGGGGCACAGTGGGGAGGGGGAGCTGGTGACGGAGGTGGAGGGGCTGGGGGGACGTGGGGCATGGGTGCAGCCGGGGGTGGGAGTTCAGGGGCCTGGGGTGCCATGGGGGCACCGTCCTGACACCGTCCCCAGGTGCTGTGGGGGAGCCGGGCTCCGTGCCCCACATCGCCTTCTCGGCCTCCCTGAGCACGCAGCGCACGGAGCCGGGCACCGTCCCCTTCGACCAGGTCCTGCTCAACGACGGCGGCGCCTACGACCCGAGACGGGTGAGTGCCGGCCCGCGCCTGGCCATGGGGGGGATGGGGGCTGTGAGGGGGGGGGGCTGTGGTCATGGGTGAAACGTGGCCTGGGGTGCAATGAAGTGGGGGGGTTCAGGGGCACAGCGATAGGCTTTGGGGTGAAGCTGGGCAACCCAGGGGCTGCGGGGAGCATGGGGTACAGTGGGTGCCTTGGGGACACGGTGTGTGGCCACGGGGGGTGTGGGGGGGCTGCGCTGATGCTGGGGGCACTGCGGGGGCTGGGGGTCGCCGTGCGCTGACACCGCTGCTGCAGGCACCTTCACCGCTCCCCTGAGCGGCCGCTACCTGGTGAGCGTGGTGCTGACGGGGCACAAGGGCGACAAGCTGGAGGCGGTGCTGTCCCGCTCCAACCAGGGCATCGCGCGCCTGGACTCGGCCGGGTACCAGCCCGAGGGGCTGGAGAACCAGCCCGTGGCCGAGCACCAGCCCAGCCCCGGCTCGCTGGGGGTCTTCAGCCTCATCCTGCCGCTGGAGGCGGGGGAGACGCTCTGCGTCGACCTGGTGGCCGGGCGCCTGGCACACGCCCCCGACGAGCCCCTCCCGTCTTCAGCGGCGCCCTGCTCTACGACGCCGACGGCCCCTAGTCGCCCCCCTCACACCCACCCCTCGCCGCCCCATGGCTCCTGGACCCCCCCCACGTCCCCTGCACCCACGCGGGGCCCCCACCCCCCACCCCCCCACACTCCCCGTTATTTATCAGCACCCCCCCACCCGCTCCCCCCGCCGCCACGCGTCCCTCACCCCCTGCCCTGCCCCCCCACGCCGCCCCGCGCCCCCCCATCAATAAAGATGCGGCACCGGGTTTTGTACCCATGGCTCCCGCCTCCTTCCTGCCCCCCACGCGCTTTATTGCCCCCATGGGCTGGGGGCAGCCCCCGGGCACTGCCCTGGTCCCAGCAGTGCCGACAGCAGGGGTGTGGGGGGTGCCCAGGCCGGGGGTCCGGCTGCCATCAGAAATCCTCATCCCACCCCGAGAGCTCGTCCATTGCCGGCGTCCGGTCGACCGAGAACCGCTTGAAGTTGTGTGTAGGGAGGGCCCTGGGGGGGCGCGGGGTCAGTGCTGGGCCTCCTCCCCCCGCCTCGCCCCCCACCCCAAGGCCCGGCCCCACCTGCTTGATGAGCCACAGGGTGGGCGCCTCCAGCTGCTGCAGGGCGAGCTTCTTCCACTTGAGGGTCCCAAACCACCTGGGGGGGGGGTGCTGCAGGAGGGGCTGGGGGGCAGCACGGCCCCCCCCCCCCCCCCACCTGCACCCCCCTCACCTGTGCTTCTTGATGCCGCGGATGCCGGTGGCCGTGTTCCCCAGCGCTGCCCCGACGGCGCCTGCAAAAGGGCCAGGGATGGGGCAGGGGCACAGGTTGGGGCTCCCCAGGGCACCCCCACCCACAGGGCTGCCCCCCCAGGACCCCGCACAGACCTGCAGAGCTTTGCAACGAGGGAGCAGGCGGCCTCGCTGAGGAAAGCAGGGAAGGAGAAGACGCCGTCCAGGATGCGGCTGTAAATCTTTGGGGGTCAGCGCTGTGGAAGGGGGGCCTGCGGGGCACAGGGGCGTCAGGCCTGGCCGCGGGGGGGGGGGTGGGCTCAGCCCCTGGGCACACTCACCTGCCCACCAGCATCTCGAAGATGAGGATGCCCAGCATCCAGAAGTCAACTGCGAAGTCGTGGCCCTCGTGGCGCAGCATCTCGGGCCGCCAGGTACTCGGGTGTCCCGCAGAAGGAGTAGGTCTTTCTCCCCGCGCTCCAGCTCCTTGGCGAAGCCGAAGTCCACCTGCGGTGCAGGAGCTCTCAGCCGGCCCCACGCCCGCAGGGACCCCCAGCGCCCTCCCTGCTGCCCCCCCCTGGCACCGGGCACGTGCCGACACCCCCACCTCCCCCCGGTACCAGCTTGATGTAGCCCTGCTTGTCCAGCATCAGGTTCTCGGGCTTCAGGTCACGGTAGACGATGCCGTGGCTGTGCAGGTACTCCAGGCCCTCCACACGCAGGCGGAGCAGAACATGGCCAGTGGCTCCTCAAGTAGCGCCTGCAGGGCAGGGTTCCGTGCTCGGCACAGCGCAGTGCGGCACGGCACGGCACGGCACAGCGTGGTGCGGCACGGCAAGCACTGCATGGCACGGCACAGCATGGCACAATGCAGAGCTTCATGGCAGCGGCACGGCAATGCCGAACGGCACCACAGGCAGACAATCACGGCAGACACAGCACGCATAGCGCAGCACAGCATGGCACATACAGGCGGCACTGCCACGGCACACCTCCCTGCCACCCCAAGCCCATGCCCCCCAGCCCCGTACACCTCGCGCAGCTTGGTCCACAGCTCGCCGCCCTGGCAGACTCCAGCAGCAGGTAGACGTGCTGCCTGTCCCGGAAGGTGCCAAAAAACCTGCGGGCAGCAAGGGTCAGCGGGGCCTCGGCGTGGCGCTGAGCCCGGCCCCCACACTGCCTGGCCCCGCTCACCCCACGATGAAGGGCAGCGGCTCTGGGCCAGCACCGGCGCTCCGTGCGCACGTGCTCCTGCTGCTGCGTGCGCACCACCCAGTCCTTGCGGATCCGCTTCAGCGCAAAGAGCCGCTCGCGCACCGCACCTGTGGGACAGGGGTGGACGTGGGTGCCAGGACGGGGACGGGGTCAGCAGGGGGTGCCCGCAGGCCAGGCGTGGCTCTCACCAGCTCGACCCTGCCGAAGCCGCCGGTGCCCAGCACGACGCGCTGCCCCTGCTTCTGCCCCTCCTCGTAGCGCACGGCCACAGGTCCTCCAGCCGCACGCCGGGGACAGCTGCCGCAGGCTCGGGGACCCCAGCCCCTGCGGGGGGAACCACGGCGATGCAGCGCCAGCACGCAGCAGCCGCCCACCCTGTCCCTGTCCCAGTGCCATGCCCAGCCCTGTCCCCGTTCCCACAGACACCCCCATCCCTGTGCCCACCCCCATCCCCGTCCCACACTGACCGCCTGGGGTCCGCTGGGGCCGGCACCTCTGTCGCAGCCGCGTTTCTGCAGGGAGAAGCAGCCCCGGCTCAGCCCGCAGCCCCAAGCCTGTCTGGGACGGGCACGGCATGGCAGGACCCCACAGGGACCCGGGGCCGTGCATGAGGCCGCAGGACTGTGGGGGGGTCCATGGGGGGACCCTCCCCACCCCCCGGCAGATCGCCAAAAGCTGCCTGGCTGTGGGGCTGGGCACCCTGCTGGGGTGGCCCTGCTGTGTGTGGGGGAAACAGGGACACCCAGGGGTGCCCCAGCCCCAGCCAGCCTGGGGGGCTGGGACTCTGGACACCTCCCATGGGGCCACACGTGGTGCCATGGTGAGCACGCGCCGGGGCCGTGCCACGGGGCTCGGCAGGAGCAGGATCGGTGCCTGGGCCTGGCGGTGCTCCTGGGGCAGAGTCCAGGACCCGCTGCTGGCGCCACGTCACCGCTGCCGTCCCTGCCGGGCGCCCAGCACCCACCCAGCCAGCACCCACGTGGGGACCCCGCAGGGCCACGGACACTCACGCATCTGAGTCGTGCCTGGGGCAGAAGGGGATGATCTCCAGGAAGTCCCTGTGGGGCAGAGGAGGTGTCAGTGGGGCAGGCAGGCCCCGGCCGTGTGCCCACGGGGACGGGCTGCAGGACACGGGGACACCCACTCCTTGGCCACCGTGATGCAGGTGACGTGTCCCTGCGCCTGGCACGACGCTGTCCGGCGGATGTTCCTGCACGGAGAGCCCGGTGGTCATGGAGGAGGAGAGGGGCGTACGCGGAGGGTGTGTGTGAGCTCCATGTGCACACGAGCAGCTGTGCGGGCACACGCACAGGGCGCAGACGAGCTGCCCGCAGCCCCCAGGGCACCTACTCCAGCAGCGAGAGCTCCCCGAAGTGCTCGCCGGCACCCAGCACACGCAGCAGCTTCTCCTGCCCGTCCACCCGCCGGCTCACCCGCACCTGCGAGGGGACGTGGGGCCAGGCTGAGTGGGATGGGGGGCACGGCCCTGCCCCCGGCACTGCACCCACCTGCCCCTTCAGATGATGTAGAAGCTCTCCCCCTCGTCCCCCTCGCGGATGATGACGTGGCCGGGTGCGAAGGAGCACTGCGGGCACAGCGGGGTGCTCGGGGCTGCATGGGCAGGGGAACCCCTTCCCACAGCCCCCCCCCTGCACACACTTCCTCCATGGCGTCAAGCAGCTTGGAGAGGTGGCTGTGGGACAGGTCCTGCAGCCAGTGCAACCCTGTGAAGAGAGGTGGCTGGGCCCGGGGCTGCTGCAGCCCTGCCTGCGTCCTGCGCCCTGCATCCAGCACCCTGCGCCCTGCCCCTGCTGCCTGCACCCTGCGCCTGCATCCCGCACCTGCGTCCTCCCCGAGCTCCGGAGCCCAGCACAGCCACAGGCAGGACAGGGCTGGGGCTGTGTGAGGATGATGACAGGAACAGGGACGGTGACGAGGCTGGGGACGAGGCTGGGGATGTGGACTGGGACTGGGCTGGGGTGGGAATGGAGATGGGCGGGGATCAGACGGGGTGGGGATGGGCCTGGTGACGGTGGACAAGGCCAGGGCTGTGCAGTGGCTCTGCCAGGGGTGATGAGAGGGGACGGCACCTCGAGGCTCAGGGCTGGCCGTGGGCTGGGGGTATCACGGAGGGGCAGGGGGCACGCGCCCCACTCACGTTCGCAGGGAGTCCAGGACCTTGGCCCGCCGCTGCTTGGCGCTGCTGGTGGTGATGGCGGGCGGTACCGCTGCCGGTCAATGGCCCAGAGGCGCACGGAGCTGAGCGCTGG